AAGGTAACAAGGTGCAAGAGGAGGTCTCCTAGTGGATTGGTGGCCCTGATAGCTTGGGCCTCCTTGTGGCTTCTTCCCATGTTGGTAATTGTAGGGCTTGTCCGCGGGCACTGGCTTCTCCTTCGTAGAGGTTGATTGTTGATCTCCCCCACTCAGACTCATGGTACCTGGGTTGGATGGTCTTTGCATATCTTCCTTAGGTGTTCTCAGATCAACAAGCTGCTCAGCTATGGCCATGGCGGTGGCGAGGTCCTCAACCCCGCGTCGCTGGAGTTCGAGCTCAGCCCATGGCTTGAAACCATCCATGAAATTGAATTGGAGATCCTTGTCCGACATGTCAGAGATCTCCAGCGTCAAGGCCGAAAACTCCTTGACATAGTCATGTAGTGATTCTTGGTGTCTGAGATTCTTCATTCTTCGACGTGCCATGTACTCCACATTTTCTGGGTAGAACTGCCACTTGATCTCACGCTTGAATCCAACCCAGGTGTCGATGATGTGGGTTCCATGTTCAATGTCTTGGCAACACCTACGCCACCATAACATTGCGATATCAGTCAAATACATAGTAGTTGTACGTACCTGAGTTTGGTTGTCAATGATGCCAGTGGCGGAGAAATATTGCTCCAATTGCCACAAGAAATTGTCAAACTCCCTAGCATCCCGAGCAACCGAGTAAGGTGTTAGCTCTCGAATCTTGATATTCATGGAAGCTAGGGTGGAGGGAGTGCTAGGTGTGTTGGCCACTGCCCTTTTTAGGAGAGTCATCTCATCTCTCATTTCATCCAATTGCGCTTGAAATCTGTCTAGCAAGCCCTGTATGGTGGTGTGCATGTCTTTGAAGGCGCCATTGAAACATCCTTCTAGCTCCACCACTGCATTTTCAACCGTCTCTAGGTTGAGGTGGAGTTCATCAACCCGATCTCGGGTTTCTCCCACTGTCACCTCGCAACGTAGGAGGCGCATGTCCACGGTAGCTAGTTGGTCAACTGATTTGTTGTGCTTCCTAGCTTTAGTTGTACGGCCCTTTGGGGCTTGTGTCTTGGTAGGTTCGTCAAGTGAAGCTTCATCAGTGTCGTGGGCTTGAGGCCGCCCATGTGGTGTGTCATCGGCAATGCCACGGTTGCTCTTCATTGTGTTGATGTAGGGACGAGGACAAGGTCCAGAGTGTGTGTAGGAGCTCCTGCTYTGATACCAACTGTCACGGGGGTAGTCGTTGGGACCCCGTGCGACACTCGAATGCGACGAGTAAGCCTAAGAAACAAGCAACAACACAAGAAAATGCAACAAAGATGGCACACGAATTAGAAAAAATGCTACTTGTATTGCATTAATGGATGGTAAGCATAAGCACACAATTCAGTGTCGAGGGGATCTCATGCTTAACCTTTACATGCTCATGACCTCACTCGACTACCTACCTCCCCTCAAAAGAGTACGTTAAGCTTTTGGGGGAGTGACAATAAGAAACATAAAAAAGGTGAAAAAGCATACTACAGTATTACAATAATGCCATTGGCAATCCCCCATACAAAAGTACATGCATAGCCCACCCATGATATACACTTGGATGCTGGAGTGGCGGCTGTAGGCACGGTGGTTGGCACTTGATGGCGTGGCGAACAGAACACTTGTTACAACTATGAGTGTGGATTGGTCCAGTCCACACAAATTGTCCACAGTTCAGAACAGCTATGGACTGTGGTGTGGTGTGGATTGGTCCCTATCACAGGTGTAGTGTGGACCAGTCCATACCCATCGATTTCTCATCCACACTATAGAACATCCCATAAAGAACAACAAAAAGAAAAAACAAAAAATTTGAGAAAACTCTGCTTCTAGATATGCAACCCAAATAAAAAATAGAATGGAGGAAGAATGAAACACTAATTTGATGTTTATCCTTAATCTTACCCAGGGTTCCAGGAAGATTTCACATTCACGGCAGAGTTGCTTTTTTATCGGACAAAAGCGCATTCGCTTATGCTGTTGAAACAATATTGGCAGACTAATTCTCCAACTCCATAGACCATAGGCATGTTTCCCAAAATTTTAATCCTTAGGAAAATAATTTGGAACTCGGGTGTCACCGGAGGTGTAAATCAATGGTGTTGGGCCGGCACAGCATGACCCGTAGCATAGCCCACGGGTCATGCTTCCCTCCCCTAGGATACTTTTGGGGTTGATTCGGTATGGCCCACGGTTTGAGTCTATGTGGACACGTGCCATGCTGTAGGTTGGGCTAATTCGCATGCCAAGCCTTGGGCCAAGTCGAGTCAAGGATCAGGCCTAATCATGTTTTTTCAAAATTAAAAAAAAAAACAATGAAATTTTTAACATAAATTAAAAAATAGATAAAAAATTTTAAAAATTTAAAATTTTATTTTATATAAATTTTTATACATAATTATTTATATGCAATAATAAAATAAAATAATATAATATAATAAAATTGAAAATAAAATTATATATATTTATATATATGGATCGTATTGAATTGGGCCAGGTCGGCACGTGAATCATGGGCGGCACAGTTCAGTCAATTGTGCCATATTGTACTGGCCCATAGACCAACAACCCCCAAGTCTGGCATGGCCCATATGATCATATCATGCCTGCCACGACGTGCAATTCCGGTAGAACCAAACAGTATTCAGGCGTAGTTGAACTTCGAGTCGGACAAGAGGATTATTGGGAATCTCAGGATGTCTGAGTCGGCTGTTTTGGGTGTGGCGAATAAATAAGTTTTTTTTTTAAAAAAAAAAAGAAGAGAAAATTCTACTTTAATACCGGATACTCCGTTAACCAATCGTTAGTTACAAAATATCAAAATTACCATTTAAAAGAAAGATATTTTTCATTTTCTTCTATCTTCAGTATTTGAGATTCTAGACTAATGAACATATTTCATGTTTTTCTAAAGGTATAAGATAATGAACATCGTTTTCTTTCGAACGATAGTTTTGATATTTTCAATAAAGCAGCAACCAACTTCGTCACTTCTTAAAAGTTTAGATACTGAGGAAGTCTAACACAGGAGACAATAGTTGCAACGGTAACAGTAGCAGGTAACGGAACTTCTCCTCTCTGCAGACCGGCGGATCCATATCCTTTTGAGATAGGATTTAACGGAAGAAAAAAGTGTAAAACTGATATTTCATCATTTCCGTCAGGAATACTTTAAAAAAATTGCCCTTTAAATTTTGAAAATTAACGTTAAAAAAGGCGTACAATAAGATACGTCTGTGGATGGGTTGCCCCAGAATCAGATGGGTTGGCTGTTGGTTTTCAGCACATGGTTTCTAAAGTCTGTACATTCGGAAATTCACATGAGCTAAGATCCGTGGGGTTCCAAATTCTAATCCGACGGTTTTCTGAGAGCAGAGTACGGGTGACTGTGATTATGAATGAGCCTATGACTAATGAATCAACCCAGCCGGCTTATGCTTATCCAAACAGAGATGGGCCAATAGCATTACTAGAACTAGCAGAAGGGTGATAGTTTGATAGATCGTTAAGCCTAAGCTCGCTGGTTTTGGGAAACGGCCAGACCACACGGTCCGGTCCGGATTGAGCGAAAATGGTTTGGAGGACAAAGCACGGAGCCGGAGGTCTGTTCTGTAGCGGCATAGCGCTGTGACGTGTCTGTGACTCTGTGTGTGTGTGTAGACGGTCTCCTCCGGTATGAATAAAACAGTAAAAACCGGGTTGGTGGATGATCGGTGGCGGTGAAAACTGAGAACTGAAGCGGCTTATCATATCACCTCACCTATGCCTACGGCTACGAGAGTCTATCCAGATTCCAGAAACCTTTTTTGGTTGGTCGTTAACTCGTTACTCGTTAGTCTTCAATATGGTGTGTACGGAGGGTGAAGAGAAGAGGAGGCTCAGCAGCCGCCCATCAAATCCGGCGTCCGCCCCTTTTCAAAACAAAGTCATACAATTAAATATCAAACCAGAAATAAAGTAACCCGGCGGTAACGTACAGTACGGATTCATGCACATCGCGCGCTCTGTTTCCTCTCCCTCTATCTTCCCCCTCCGCTCCATCGGTGAAAGTGAAATAAAAAGTAAAATCAAGTACAAATCTAAGCAGATTCATGCAATCAGGTGGAGCAGGTCTTTCTTCTATTTAATTGCTGTCGAATCCTATTTCTTCTCTATCAAATGAATCACCTTGGGATCTTTTCCTTCTACATAGAGACTCCAACTTCATACCTTCTCCAGACCCAAATATCTTCGTCTTAAGGTCAGTGTCTTCACATCATCCTCTTCTTCAGCTTTCAGTTTTGCATTTCAAATTGGCCTGCCTGATCTTGTTAACATACAGCTACGCCTTGCACCGGTTTTGACTTTTCTTCATTCCTCATTACCAGATTCTGCACTTCACTTAATGTTTAATTTCGTTGTCGCCTGTATTTTCTGAAAATCTGATTCATTATCTATAATTAAATTGCATGGTTTTGTTGCTGATTGGGGCCTTTCTACGATGATTTCATTTCTTGTTCACGACAATTCGTTCCTTTTTTTTAGCTTTCTTTTTTCCGGAGGAGATCTGAAACGGGCGTTCTATCATGAGGAAAGTTCTGATTGTTTCGCTTTGGTAAAGCGGCAAGTAATTTTAGTTTATCTTTCAAATAAATAAGTAGTTGTAGTTTATTCTACAGTACCATGTTCTGATCGTCGATACACTATCTATGCCCTACATTTGATAATGATATTAGAGCTCCACAACTATGGCGTTTAGCTAACATTCGTAATTTAATGAAATTTCGAACTGGAGATTTCCTTTTTGTCATTTTCCCTCTAAATACAAACAAGTTCCAAACTTCTGTGTGTAATTGAATGTAATTAGGATAGCAGAGAATTGTTGAACTTTGGATTCAATTCGATCTATTTAAGAATAACAGTGAGACAAACACGGGTTTTGGAGACCGTTGTGGTTGTTATTGGTTAGTTGAGTATGAACACAATGGTACTTTAAGTCTCAATTTAGTCAATTATTGAAGACTACATTATTTAGGTAACCAAAAGAGGGCATATAAAAGAATTATGCTTCCTTAGTAGACAGAATGAAAAGCAAATTATTTGGAGAAATCATACTCCGCTATCAAGGGATGTTAAAGAAACCTTGCTGGTCAAGCGAGACACAGGTGTATATGTCTGTATACATATAACCATTACTAGAATGAGAAAGAAGTTTGTCTAAGATACAGGGAAGTGTTACAAAATAGCGAAGCAGGCATATGGTGGAAGGTGCAGCCTTTGAATAGAATAGTTTACTTGCCTACACAGACACCACAACATTGGTGGAACTTTCCAGCTTTGCAAACATGTATTTTAATTGGTTATGAGCCCTAGAAGTAAGCAACTTTTATGTCCTAGAGCTAGAAGGACAAAGCTCAATAGTCATTCCTTGTGCTTTTCTTTTCTTATTGTTCTTTGTAGCTTTTTTTTGGAGTTGTTCATGTCTACAGAAGAGAGTAGTTTATGGGAGTAATGTACACTATGTAATGGAAATAACGAAATATCATTGGGTCCTTTGTTGCTAGAAAAATCTGTTTTTTTTTTAAGAAAAAAAAAATCTATGGGCCATAGCAGACTCTGTATATTTCTATTGCAGTCACTGAGGCTATTGTTTCCTGGAAAATGCAGTTTTGTTAGTGTAGTTATTGACTTGGGAAAAGTCCTCCCACCACATTGAATACAACATATTGTTGTGTTCCTTCTAAAGAATGGATCCCTTACTAAATGAAAAACAGGGTTATTGTTTTGCCTCCTTGTGTATTTTTCTATAGCGATAAATTGTAGATACATTCTTTGTGTCCATCGCAGTGGACGAAACTATCACTCTAGAATCAATAGAGTTTTCTTAACCTAGATGGTGAACTGTGAAAAGTTCTTTTACATTACTATTAAAAAAAGTTCACCTTTCAAAAAAATAAAAGAAAACATAACTGTTAAAAAAAAGTTCTTTAAAACTGGATAGCATATTACATAACGCATCCTCCGGAGAATTGATTTATCATCAAATGGTGGAACCAGGTTAAAACATGGGCCACGTATGTAAATAATTAATATGTCCATGTAGTTATTAGCTACAATTTAGGGCCTGATCAAAGTTCTTGGACAGGATTCACCATAGTCCATGACTCCATGTTAAAAAATGATCAACTTTCCTAGTCTTACTAGGGTTCCTAAAATGAAAATTCAATTAAGGCAAATTATGGTTCGGTTTACTTGTGTGTTCTATGGAGTCTCAACTATTGAAGATAAGGTGACTGCAGGCCTTACCATGTTGTGTTATAAAAGAATGAGAGGAACTGCATATTACGTCCAGCTCGAAGGAATTGGTTATATGCTCTGCTATGATGTATTGCAATAAAGGATAACGTCTAAGTTTTATACTCCATTCCATTAGGTATTCAGAGGATTTTTACTTTCCAAAATAGGGAAAATGATACATCTCTTTCCCTTCTTCATAATGTGCTGACCTGTATGCACTTTATTTTGGGGTGTCTAATAATAAATATAAGTTTTACAATGGTTATGCCTACTTGCATTCAGAAGATAGATTTCTATCATTTTTTTTTTATTATTAGTATAGCAAAGTGATTCAATGTCATTAACGATAATTGGAACCTCAAGGTCGTCATTCAACATGACTCTGAGTAAATTATTGTTTTAGTTCTAGGTACAGCGAGTTCTAGCATCATGCCGTGCATCACATATGTTGTATCAAGGTATGATTTAACCTGTATAATATATGCTCTGACTAGTGTACAGTGGTGTTAGCTGGTTGAGTCTGTGAATCCCACCGTTACCTGATTGACATGGAGTTACAGAAGCCACACTACACAAATAGGCCTATAAGATATATGCAGGATGTCTTCATTTGTTATTGGATATCTGATGTGTTTCAAAATATCAGTGAGTGGGAAGAATTGGAATTAGATATTTTGTAATGTATTTAATTGCATTACTACATTGGAAATCCAATGTATTCTTTGTTAGCAGTATTTCTTTACCCTGAAACTTACACTTTGAGTATGCCTTGGTTCCTGTACTAAATATAAAAATCTATGCCTGTTGCTTAAAGACAAGCAAATGCCACATATCCAGTGGGTATTGATTCTTTCTGTTCAATTTTTATTTTGTTTTTGCTATAACTTTTCCCTTTTGTTATCCCTTTTTTGTATTGGCAATGCCAATTGAGTAGTTTCTTCTTGTGTGCAGGGCAGCTCTTCTTCCAACTCGGATAAAGAAAGACTAATTTTTTCATTTATCTTGGAACAACCCCATTATTCAATACTTATGGGGATGTAGTAGCTTGGCATGATCATGTTTAACCGCTAAATATTGTATAAATCTGAATGTACACAAGAAGATTTTCTTTAATGGAGCTGAAAGAAACCGATATTGAAGATGGAGCTTCTGACAAAGTAAGGCTTCACCAATTCTGGCCACTTAATGAAGTTGATCCCAAGAATTCAAAATTCCCATGCTGTATAGTTTGGACCCCACTCCCTGTAGTTTCATGGCTGGCACCTTTTATTGGTCATGTTGGTATATGCCGGGAGGATGGGGCTATCATTGGTTTTGCAGGGTCTAATTCTGTCAACATAGACAGTTTTGCTTATGGTGGTCCAGCCAGATATCTTCAACTTGACAGGGAACAGGTACACCATGAATGCACCAGAACCATATCTGTTTTCTCATGAAGCCACTTTTTCCTTGCTCTTCTTTTGCCATTTTCAAAGTAATTTGGTTTAATAAAACCCAACTTCATGTTGGATTTGAAGGATGAGACTATATTTAATAGTTACAACCATGCATTTACTCTATGGACTTTGATTTTGATTTTTGTTTTGGTTTTGGTTTGAAAATGTGGGACAGTGCTGCTTTCCTCCGAACTTAGCTGGTCACACGTGCAAGCATGGCTACTGGCATGTGGAGCATGGAACTGCAATCACATGGGATGATGCACTGCACTCAAGCATGCATCACTTTGAGAACAAATCTTTTAATCTGTTCGTTTGCAACAGCCACTCATTTGTTGCCAATTGTTTAAACAGGCTCTGTTATGGTGGCTCCTTGGGGTGGAATATGGTTAATGTTGGTGTTTTGATTCTGTTAAAGGGGCGGTGGGTTGATTGGAAGTCAGTCATAAGGTCCTTCTTTCCTTTTGCTTTGGTGCTCTGCCTGGGAATTTTGATGGCTGGGTGGTCGTTCTTGATCGGGTTTGCATCCTTTTCTCTCCTCCTCATTGGGTGGTTTTTATTAAGAACTTATTGCCTCAAGAGTTTGATAGAATGTTAGATCTTTAGTCATCAACCCAGATTGTCCTGATGGAAAAAACGGAATGGATACGTTTCATTTCATGTGTCTTTTATTGGCATGGTTAGGACCGAAAAAGGGGAAAAAGTAGTTACCTTCTCATCTATGTATGCTATAAGATGCTTGTAGAGGGGACTAAAGTGAATTAAGAACTCAACTTTGCTCCCAGGCACGCCTTTCTGTCTGGGCTCTTAGACCTATCAAAGCAGTACATGCAATAAATTAAAGTAACCAATTTCTTATGTTCTGAGTGAATGGTAGTAGTATGATACTGGATGGGTGAATTGGATTAATCACTAGTGAGGAACAGGTTTCAAATGTCAGTCCTCGAGTCACTTGCTTAACAATTCAATCTATATTGGATTATGACATTTGTTGGATTGTACAAGGAACAGGTAGTGGTTGGAAATCTTGACATACAATCTGGGTGTTGAGTGTTCTAGCAATTGTTTCATATCCACAATCCACATAGCTAACTTACGTTAACTATTAATTCTAACCATTGCTTGTACGAGTTATATCAAATTATTTTCCCACGGCAATGATCTGAAACAGTAGGAATCAAGTTTTGAGTCACTTGGCATACATGCCAAGTTTTGTTTGCAATGCAAATCTGAATTGGATACAAGTTTTGTACGTGGTTCAAATTTGCATTCGCTTCTGTATATTTTTGATTTGCACTCCTACCCGATACCAAATTTGTACTTCATCTCATTTGCAATGATTGGCAGTGCAAATTTCGTGTCTCAAAAACTAATGTAAAATTTGCAGCACTTCCCAGATACCTTAATTTTCTTTCATGTAAGGTGGACACCACATCATCTTGCTTCCTACCACTGTACCCAAACAAATAACTCTTCTACTTTCTCCATTCTCTTTGAAATAAAGTGAGGGCCATTGCATTTTGTTTCTCATAAACAAATAAGATGAAGCCAAATGCATAGCAAGAGTAATCAAAATTTATACTCAGCCTATTTGTAGTCTCATGCATTTATACCAGTGCAAACTAAATTCACACTGCAAACAAATCGAGCCTAAGCATTCATGGTGGACCTTCAAGTTTTAGATCAAAGAGATTTGATTTCTCTTGTTCATGGAGCTTCACAATTGAAATAAATAATGATTCAAGTTTCCTTGAGGTCTCAAAAAATGGTACATTTATTATTCTTTTACTCATAGGATGTGAACCAGCGTACACTTGGTGTTAGTTACAATCATGAACCCCAAAAAAAAAGTTCTAGTTACAATCTATTAGTCCTAATTTCAAATGCATGCTTATGGTACAACCTTCGAAAGAAACCTCATGCTTTAGGTCTAGAAGCTTTCTAGGGCAAGATGCCAATCATGCAAGAACCAATCTTATTGGTTATTTAGGTCATTATTGCTATTTGTGTCTTTATTTAGTGTTTAGTGGCTAAGTTGTAACTAGGAAATAACTGAAGCATGAAATGTCCAAAGCAAAGAGAGCATTTTACGTTACATTCATACAGGCTTTCTTTATTGAAACTAACAAAGATAACTAGCATCAATCCTATGCCTCTCACTTTGGATTCCAGGTTGCTTCTGTACCAAATTATCATTCTTTTGCATATTAGGCCAATGAGTAAAAGGAGCTAACCTCTTATATTATGATTATTGGCCCTGTATTACATTAGAACCGTAGAGGAGTCGAACTTGTGTAACTACAAAACAGTGAGTGGATCCAGATTCCAGATTATTCAACATTGATTCACGTAATGATTGTTGACCTGCTTAGGAAAATACGAGAGTTGGGGGCTATAAAAGTAATATACTTGGTTTCCCAACCCAACTGTTCACTCTTGCCGTTTTGAAGGACGTTGGAGAATCGAGTAAAGTTAGAGTCCATATATATATTAAAGTAATGAAATCAGACAAAAGTCTCCTTCAATCAGACATGTGATTAGTGGTAATTCAAAAAAACATCCTATTAACATGTAAAGTGGAGCCCACTACCATGGAAAGCTCCCACTTTCAATCATTTTCTAAAAAAATAAAGTTATACTATCAATTAGTGTTGATTACTTTTAATGACTTAATTACAACTATTAATTACTGTTAACTACTTCTAATTAATTAATCTCAGCTATTAATTACTAATAATAATTAATTATTGAAAACAATTTCTTATAATAACTACTACTATTACTTAATTGCTGATAATAATTAATTAGTGATAATATTGCTCATTATTAATTCAGAAAAATAATTTCTTATAATAATTAATCTAATACTTAATTATTGATAATTTATTAATGAAAATATTGCTCATCATTAATTCGAAATGATAATTAATAAATATTTTCATAATGGTAATTAATAACTCGGACATAATCATTTTATATTTATATTAACTCATTAATTATATTGAAAATAAATGTTTAATGGTAATTATTTATATTATAATTATTATCAGAAATTATAATTCATACATTTATATGAAATAATTAACTCATATTATTTATTTTGAAAATAAATATTTAATGGTAATTATTTATATTATAATTATTATTAGAAATTATAATTCATACATTTATATGAAATAATTAATTATACTATTATAAGTAATTATAATTAATAATATTATATTAATGAATATAATTAATTATTACTAATACTAATTATGATAATTATTACTTTAGGAATGTTAATTAATTGGGATATAATCATTTTATATTAATATTAATTCATATTAATAATTTTATAAATATATAGTCAGGATTACTTATTTACATTATTATTACAAATAATTATAATTAATACTATTATTATTCTCCAATAAATATTTCATTTAGTGGAAGTTAAATTATAAAACTTTCAATTATTCAATATTGTTAAATTTAAAGAATTATAAAAGCAAATACTATTTTATGAATTAACTAAAAATCATAATTATAACAAATTAATTACTTAGTAAAAATAAAAATAAATAATAATAATAATAATAATAATAATAATAATAATAGTAATAGTAATAATAATAATACTTTAATATTACTGATTTCAAAATCAATACCAAAATAATAAGAATATATTATTAGTTAATAATAATAATAATATACTTATTATTATTATTGATTTCACAATTATTAATATATTATTAATCTATTAATAATACTAATTATTATTAAAAAATATTAATAGAAAATTTTAATTACATAAAACTATTTGTTTAAAGTACCCATTTTAATTCAGACAATTATTAATTATTAATTTCTTAAAATTATTATTACTAGAATAATTTAAGTACTCTTTTCATTAACGGCCTTATTTTCGAGTAATTGGTTTTTTATGTTCAATCTTTTTTTTTTTGCAAAAATCCAAACTTTTCATTTGCAATGCTACCCATCTTATTTTTCTCTTATTCAGTTTTCCAACAGATAAAAATAAATTAATGATATTTACCGATTTTTAACAAATTATGTATTTATCAAGTTGTTGTCATTGATGATGACAATGATGATGTGTGAACTTTTTGAAAGAGAGGGGTACTAATAATAATTAATGACTTCTAATTAATTAATTTCAGCTATTAATTACTAATAATAATAACTCATTGATAATAATTATTGCTAATACTTAACTACTGATATTAACTAATTACTGATAATATTTCTCATTATTAATTCGGAATGATAATTAATAACAATTTTTATAATGGTAATAATTAATGATTTTAATAATGTTAATTATTAATTGGGATATAATCATTTTATATTTATATTAATTCATATTAATTTTTTATAAATATATAATTAGTGTTAATTATTTACATTATTATTATTATAAGTAATTATAATTAATACTATTACTACTCTCCAATAAATATTTCATTTAGTGAAAGTTAAATTATAAAATTTCAATTATTCATTATTGTTAAACTATATGAATTATAACATCAATTATTATTTCAAGAATTTACTAAAAATTGTACTTATAACAAATTAATTAATTCATAATAATAATAATAATTTAATATTACTGATTTCAAAATCAATACACACATAATAAGAATATATTATTAGTAAATAATAGTAATAATAATATACTTATTATTATTATTGATCTCTTAATTATTAATATCTTATTAATCTATATTACTCAATAAAGACATGGAATAAAAAATATTCAAATTACCACTAAATGAATGAACTAAAAATCTATGGGTATTTTAATTGACTTGAATTTGACACATCAACATGCCCAAAATTATAATTTCAACCTACATCTTCTATTTCTATCTCCTAATTTACATAATTCAAACATACCATTAGGTTATGTACAGGTTTCCCTATCTTTTCCTAAAGATAAATTCTAGCTAGTCTATGTGCATTGTGGGGAGATTGGATTTAAAATTCATAACCATGATCAACCAAAACAAGCGTTGCCACCTAACTTGGAGGTGACTTCCATACTTAGTGTTGTCCCATTATTCTCCTTTCTTTCATATTTATTTTGTTGGATGGGCTTCGGAGTCCTAATTATATTATCAGTTGATTGTAGCCATACATGATGATGATTTGATTGTAATCATATATTTTTCATCTCTTACTTTAGAGGATGGATGCATATTCGAATGTTGTTTGGTATGGATTGTTTTTCTTAGCAGTTATTTGAATGATTTTCTTCTTTCTTTGCCTCTTTGAATGGATATCATAAATGCTTTTATCCATTCATATGTCCCTAAATATTAAACAATATTGGTGATATTGTTTTAAACATCCATCTAAGTTTCCTATTTTATAAATAAACTAATGAGTTCAAAGTTATTGATACATTTTTGGTGGATTGCTCAATAGGACATTGATTTTTTTATTGTTAAATAGTAAATTTCAAATTAAATGATACTCCAGTTGCCCCTTAGTATGGGGTCATTGTCTAGATAAAAACATGGTAAGTCTCTTAAATTAAATAAAGAGCCTACCCTAAATGTCTATTATAAATAATTAAAAAATAAAATAATTCAGATTAAATCAAATAATTACTTACTCAAAATTACTGAATTAAGTAAATAATAATAACAATCAATTATTTATAGAAATAATTAATAATAATAACAATCATCAAGTACTTATTTAAGTAATAACAAAGAACTAAATAACAATCATCAGTTATCATTAATGTTTATTCAAAACATGCCCGATAATAATTAGCAAATACAGTAATTAAACCTTAAATAAGAATTAAGATTTATTAATAGTCATTAAAATTGTTAAGCCAAATCATTAATGTTTATTCTTAAATGGAAAATATGAATTAACAAATTTATTATATAATAATTATACTCGGTTGGAAAAATATTTTAAGTAAATATTTAAATAATTACAAATTTAATTAATATTATTACTAAATAACAAAAAAATTTAAATTAAATACTAAAATAAAATAATAATAATAATAATAATGATTAAATTAAAGTATTAAACGTTTTAAGTTGAATTTAATGACCTGTATAATTACATGAGGTTGCACTTTTAGCAAATTACCAGTTGGATTGTGATTTTCTGTTTTTGGCAGAGTAATATTGTAATAATATTATTATATATTATTGAAGACTGAATGACTGATCGGGTCGGGTAAAGATGGCATTCGCCAAACACAAACCGCCCAAGGGTATTTTGGGAAACCAGAAATTAATTTTGTCCACAACTCAATTAATTATTAAGAGAAAACCAGAAAATTGGACGCCGTGCACAAGCATTTAATTCTGAAAACACCACAAACACAGTGTGACAGTCTGTCACTGTCAATTTAACTAGGGAGACTATTTCCATTTTCCTCTTCAATTTTATTTATTAGAAATAGAAACTATACAAAAGAGACACCAGAGAGGCAGAGAGACAGGCCAAGAGGGGTCTAATCTGAATTCTGATGTGGTGGTGCAGAGGGAAATGGCGTCAATGACCGGCAACAGAAACACCACCACCAACAACAGCAACACATGGGTATGGCTATATCAATACTCATCTATATTTTTCATTCTAGTCTTTCTTTTTCTTCTTCTTCGTTTCTTAGATTGCAGTCCTCTTGATTTATTTTCCTGCATTTTATTTTCTGGGAAAATTTGATGGCTTTGGGACAGAGATCGAGCTCTTTGTCGATAGGCGAGCGGCTATGCGCTGCATTCATACCATTCATCACACTAGCGGAAGCGCTCGTGTTAGCCGCCGCTAGTTGCTTCAATCACCACTCCAAAGAGTCTCGATGCAGATATTATGATCTTGTTCGCCTTTCTAAGGACACTCTATGTTCGTTCATTCTCTCTCTGCCTCTCTCCGGTCATTTGCCGTGTCCTTGCTTCTTCTTAGTTTTACTTTTCGTGTTTGTTTTTGTTTTCGTTTTGAATTGACAGAATTGTATTTTGGTCTTGTCTATGAAGTTACTGTAAATGAAGTAGAAGCCTTGTACGAGCTTTTCAAGAAGCTGAGTAGCTCCATTATTGACGATGGATTAATACACAAGGTAGAGATTCGCATCTCAATTCCCCACATGTTTGAGAGTAACCATCCAAAGTTTTCCCCCTTTTTCTTTTATGGATTTGGTGTGATTTCTTTGACTTTTAAGCTACAGGGACAAACAACCGAGGGACTTAGAATCTAAGATTTAACGTATGCATGTTATGAATTTATTTTTGTTCGGATATTTCAACTTTTCTTTTTTGCCTTTTCATCTTTTTGAGCATTTATTACATTTTGAAAATGCTTTGGTACTTGGGGTCTGAGGACCCTTTTCTTTAGTAAGAGTTACTTGGGGGAATTTCCAGTTTATTTTTTCCTTGGCGAATTCTGGGTCTTCTATAAATGCTGTAAATTCCTTTTAGTGGTTGATGGGATGCAGTCTTTAATTTGCCAGTGCTTGTACACCCCCCTCTACATATGTCAATCCGCAATTACAAAATACAAATATATGTACAAGCGCATACAAGCATAATATATAACAAAGAGGAACTATTTGATTTTTCAAGTAATTCTATGACCTAGTCTAGATGCCCGAGTGAGTACCGTAATGTCAGAAAATTGGATATATAAGTTGCCTCAATGAAAATACTGCAGTTATTTCTGAGGGAGAGATAAAGAACGCTCCAAAATATGAGCTACAAGGATGGTCTCAGGCAGGGTACAAAAGTCCTGCTACCATAGGCCTAAAGGGCCATTACCCAATGTTGTTCTCAGCCATCTAGATTCTCAGGAGGGGCGGACTGCATGAGGATCTAGAATTTGGGCTTTTTTTCCTTTTTGCATAAAGCGGCCTCTCCTAGATTTGACCCATGTTCCTGCTACTGTGGGCATATTTTCTTATTTCATATCTGAACTGAATTCTTTTAGTGGTGTCGATGCCTCTATGTTAACCTTTGGCCAGCATCATTAACGAAGTAAGCACTTAGATAACCAAAAAAAAAAGAAGTTAGTATTTTAGATAAATTAGATAACCAATTTATGATATTTTACACTGAACAATCCTGTTTCTGGAGATACACGTGCACATATTTTAGGTTTAGGTAGCGAACCAACTCTCAGGCTTATGCAGCATAATTAAAATGAGAACCTGGAAAAACGTTTGGTTGACAATACCATGTGAGCATTATAAAATTCATTTAAACCTGTTCAAATCATTTTCTGATTCATTAGTATCTAAGAACTTGTATACAAGGGCTGGTATCTGCGTTGGACCAGAACTGCCAGTTTTTGTTCTGATAGCATACTTTTATCTTTCTGTAATGTTAAGGGGATATGTCATTATTACTTATTATATGTATGAATGTTTACGTGACTCATATTATGCTTTTAAATGTTTTATCTGTTTGGTAGGAAGAGTTGCAGTTGGCAATGTTCAAGACTCCATCTGGTGAAAATCTTTTTTTGGATAGGGTAAATCTATAACAACCCATCTTTTTGTTAAATTACTACCCCTAAAATTGCATACTTAGTGACATCAGGAATAATATGTCACAGTGAACTATATATATTACACATTGAACTATGATTAGTGTATAGTGTGTGCCCATGAATTTGCATGCTTTTCTTTCTTGATTAACTTGAGTTTGCTTTCTGGAAATGTGATTTGTTTAATGGGAAAACCATTTTCAGGATATCAATTCTTACACAAGAACTTGGATTCATTCAATAATCACCTTTGAACTCCAAAGTTTTTCTTTATCCTTTATTCTTTTACTTTATATTTTGTATTTTCTGTTGTTTAGGCATTATTATAAGTTTTTCTAATATAGATCTAGAGGGAAAACAATCTTTTTTGCAGTTGAAGGAAACAAAATTGAATATACAAGCCTCAAAGCTATTCTAGATAATTTTGTCTACTCACTCTTATCTTCATCATATTTTGATAAAGATAACATGTATTAGTCTGAGTTTTACATGGATATGACACCTCAAAAGTAATTGGTAAATCCATGTCAAGACTTGGATACTTTTCCAAAATGTGGAACTTTGCCCCACATTTCTTTAACATGCTGGTGATACTATAAGTTGAAGCTAGAGGGAAATAGGCACTCTTACTCAAACAAGGCAACAACTCTTTGGTTTCTAGAGGTTGACATGACATAGTTTTTTGGACATTTTCAATACTTGGAACCCTTTCCATATGCCAAGTTAACAGTGACATGAATCCATTGCCAATGCTTATTTCGAGCTTGATAAGGTATATGAACAACACATGTGACACCATTTGCATGGAGTTTTGACAGTTGCAGTTTAGTGTTCCTTCCCCTCTGTAAATGATGATCTGCAGATTTCCGTTTCATCTTTTAACTGTCTTCCCCTTTCCTTTAGGACCTAGATCAGCTTGCTATTTCAGATCCATAAAAGGGCCATTAGCACATTATACAATGTTGGCCCCTCGTTTCTGGAGTCTTTGGAGGGATGGTCTGGATAGGAACCTAACCTTTAGAATTTTTTTGCACACAGTGGCTGCTCTTAGGTTCCAACCTTCATTCTCACACTTTGTCATTCCAATATCTGTATATTTCTATAAATTGGGAATTTCTTCTTACTGAAATATGTGACTTTTCTTTGTAAATTTGGAATTTATTTCTTACTGATCTATGTATGTGGATTCCTTGTCATACATTATTGTATTTCTTAGAAATACAAGATCTCTGCACTAAATTGTATCCTTACAAACCTAAAACTGTTTCTTCTTTTGTGGAGTATGGTTTGAACTGCAGTGTTGCATGGACTCTCCTTAATGGATGAAGTATCTATGCCAGACATGTCTTGGATTCTGACACTCCATGGATTCTTGAATGACACTTCTATGTAAAAAATTTCCTTTGTATCCTTATTTGACATAAATGAACAGATAATGTACACGATAAATGTATTCTTTCCTATAAAACACTATCAAGTAACAAAGATCAACTTCAGACCTTTTCCCTATAGGTATATGATGTAATAATTAAAAAAGGAAATCTTTTAATAGTTTATACGTGTCCACACACTCCCAGATACATGCCAAATTCTGATTCCTGTTTCTATGTCCGCGTAACACTATTGATTTTCCATCAAGAACACTTGCAAATGTCCTTTTTTAATTTTATAATGTGATGCGTTTATCTAACTGTTGTCTCTTCTTATCTAGGTATTTCATCTTTTTGATGAAAAGAGAAATGGTGTAATTGAATTTGAAGAGTTTGTCCATGCACTCAGTGTCTTCCATCCTTGTGCTCCTTTGGAGGACAAAATTGATTGTAATGATTCCTGAATCCTTTGCTTGCTTGTTTAGATTTGACTGAGATGTACATCTAATGGTAATAACATCTTTTTTTTTCCTTTGGAATCCTTGCAGTTTCATTTCGGTTGTATGATCTGAGACAAACTGGATTTATCGAGAGGGAAGAAGTGAGTATCTTGACATGTGTGCTGGAGCCTTTTTTTTTGGGTAGCATAATGAGATATGTAGTTGATATAATTCAAATGCAAAAGTTTGAATAATGTTAGTAGTAACATTATATATGGATCTATTGTAGCAACGATAATGTTAGTAGTAACCTTAACTTCACCTTTCAACACCCCTGCCTTCCCAAATAAAACCACACCTTTCAGCACCCTTTTAACTAAACCATTTCATTCATCTCCCCAGCATGTCAAGATATGCTCCACATTAACTGAAAACATTAAGTGGAAAATAAAAATTCCATTACCTTTTAACTTACCAAATATGTCAAGAAGTGCTCCAAATTTTAATGGACATGTTTTATGTAGTGTTTTAAAAGCGCAAGGGCCAATTTGCGCCTGAGGTGCAAGGTGTAAGGTGAGCGCATGCCTTTTTTGAAGCAAGGCGCAAAATTACAAAAAAAAGCTAAAAAATAAAAAAATGTCAAAAAATTCAAAAAATGCCAACATTAAAAAAAATAACGCAAACAATATTAAACATAATGTTAATAAAATATATAAACTTAAATTTTAAAATAAATGTTTTAAAAACCTATTATTTAAAATTAAAATACATAAACATAACATGTAAAGCGTATTCAAATGAAAATTTAAAAATAAAAGCAAACACATAAAGCATTTTCAAGCATGCCACAATCTTTTTTTTTCCTCAATTGCATTACTTCAAGTAGCTAATGTGATGTAAAACATATTGCATTCTTGATTTTACAAGTCACTTTTGTACCACGCCCCTCGAGGCAAACCTGAACAAGTCCCTGTTAGGGTCTTAAATTCGTATTTCTCACATAGAAAATAAAGATTTTATAACTTTAGTTGTCTTTTAAGAAGATATATTGGAAAGAATGAATGAATGAACAACATTAGTAAATAGGGGGTTCTCGGAAGCTGCTATGAACTTGAATTTTCACTGAAGGGGTTTCTTTCCTCCCTGGAAGCTTCTATTTTTTGATCAGTAACCCAATGTTTATAATCTAATAAAGAAATGAGATATATACAAGCATGTGCCAAGCACCCCATATAGTCTAACATCTATTACTTACCAAAATGCATCTGTTTTTCAAATTTTAAATTACAAAAAAACAAAAAAAAATACAAACTTCCCTTGGAGAGTTGTTTCTGAGTACAATCTGTTTCTATTTGTTCCTTGCTTTTCCAAAGCATGAGCCATACTATTGAATGATCTAGGTGTCCATTCAAAAGTTACATGCAGTTTCACTTCCAGTTATTTATCTCCCTTATTAGTTATTTCATGCCTACAAATCCAAGGGCCTGGAACTTACTATTGAGTTTTATATGTGTTGACATTTATTGTTTCAACCTGACAAGATGAAGGCTGTGTTACAGCACCCTGATTCTTTACCTTTATGGAACCTTTTTAAAATTGTTTTATTAAGAGAAAAAGTATTTCCATTTAGATAATTAATTGCTAAGGTTTGCCCAAAGGATTCTAAGTTTAGCAACGATGCAATAATTTTGGTTTTATCATGCAATCTTTCTGTCACTCGTTATGTGTTACAGAATCTTGATTCTTTACCTTTATGGAAACTTTTTTTTAATTCATTTATTAAGAGAAAAAGTCTTTTCATTTAGGTAATTAATTGCTAAGGTCAATTAAAGGATTTTAAGTTTATCAAAGATGTGTTGATTTCAATTACCATGCAATCTTTCTGTCCCTCGTATATTCCTGTATCAGTTACTCTTCCATTCTGCCATTCATAGTTTTACCCTTAGGCTATGTTTGGTTTGAAGGAAAAGGTAGGGAAAGGAAGGGAAAGACAGGAAAACCAATACAAGGGTTGTAAATGTTTTCCTACCTTTCCCTACATTTTCCTTCAAACCAAACATAGCCTTAGTGTTGAAACTTTATCATTGTTAAACAGTTAAGCTCTGATTTTTTCAGGTTAAGCAAATGGTAATTGCAATTTTAGTGGAGTCAGAAATGAATCTGTCAGATGAACTTCTGGAAGTTATCCTTGATAAGGTATGGGTTTGGTCAAGTTAAAGTTTTTTCTTTTTTCCTTTCCTTTTTGTATTGCCTTATTGAGGGCTATTAACTTATTACAGCTTCATTTTTTGGTCAGACGTTTGCTGATGCTGATGCTGACATGGATGGCAAAATTAACAAAGAGGAATGGAAGGCTTTTGTTCTTCGAAACCCCAACCTTTTGAAGAACATGACTCTTCCTTATTTGAAGTATACTGCTTGCTCTGCTCTATGTTCTATTTTGTTTTTCTTTAATGTTATATTACACGCAATATATGCATTTTTTTCAATTTTCTTTAATGCTACGTATCTTGTTATTGTGCTCATAATTTAACAATGGATATGGCATTGAACACTTGGTGGCAACGAGCCGTGCTTTTCACGAGCTACTTGAGCTTGGCTCGTGAAAAGCTCGGCTCGGCTCGATTTCAATCGAGCTCGACCCGGTTTACAGGCTCGATTAATAAACGAGCTGAGCTTGAGCCTAATAGAGCTTGACTCTCACGAGTCGAGCTCAAATTTATTATATATATAATAAAATTATAGAAAATAATATATATATATATAATAATAATAAAAATATTATAATTCGTAATTTTTTAAATACCAAATAAAAAATATTTTTTATATATAATTTTTTATTTTTATAAAATATTTTCCCTCAAATCGAGCTCGTGCTGAACCGAGCTTGAGCTTATGAGTTTTTGACTCGAGCCGAGCTCGAGCCTTATATTATTAAGCTTGGCTCGGCTCAAATCCACCCCTATTGAACAGAATGGAATGACAAAACAGGGTTCATTTAACCAACCCCATGTAGTTGGGACAAGGCTTATATGATGATGAATATGATGTCACATATCTTGATATTCCTAAGAGACAAGAAACCTGGTTTCTTTCTTTCTTTTCTTTTCAAATATAAGTGGACAGCTGTCCATGATTACTATCAAAAACTTCAATATTTGTTATTATTATTACTATTATCCATTATTTAGTTCCTTGGTTTTTACCAAAAAAAGAAATAGTTCCTTGGTTTTACCCTTGATTATTGAAAAATTTTCCACTGTGAGAACATTGGATTTTCAGCTTTTTGAGTTGGGACTTTTGATATGTTTTCCACTTATAAGGTGTCTCCATTTGCTTATGGTCTTCTACTCATAGGACCCCTTAGTTTTTGCTAACAATAACAGTTTCATTTGTTCCGCTTTTGAGTTAGGCAAGAGTCGCTGGTTAGAGGCCACTAGTAGAATGCTGAAGAGCTTGCTGATATATAAAGTACTTGTATTCTGATATTGGTGTATATTATTTGAATATGAACTATCTGTTAAACATGGCGGCCCTCCCCTAGTCTCATGGTTTTCATGCCTGAGAGTATACAAGGAAAACAATCGAGTTCACCTTCCATCTGCATGGTTATGGAGTCTTGTATTCTTGAAGTCTTTGATATCCTTTCCATTGTTGATGTTACTTTGTTTATTGTCCAGGGACATTACTACAATTTTTCCAAGTTTTGTCTTCAACACTGAGGTGGACGAAAGTAATTGAAGATGCAAGCACAAGATGGGACTCCCATGGGGTTTTTGAAAGCTTCAAGTCTGTGACTTCTCCTCGCCATCATTGCAGTTGGAATTTTTCTCAGACAAGGGTTTCAATCAATGTTGAAGCAATGTCTACATCATCCCTTGAGCTGGTAAAGGTGTTGGTTATGTAAAGTGCACGACTGACCATATTAGCCGCATCACTCCATGTCATTTAAACATATCCGGCTCTTCAAATAGTGTATCAATTCAAGTCCATAAAGATGGTTGTACTTGTACAGTAAGCAGAAAAACTAGTTCTACTGATTAGTTACGATTTTCAGTAGAGTTAATTTCAGCTCCCATGGTCATTACTTGTGCTTTTGTGTTTCCACAGCCTCCACTACAAAGCATGGGTGTTATTTTTTATGCATGTAATGTAATATAAATATATCCTTATTTAAATTAAAAAGAATGTGTTTTCTACCATGGCTTTCTATCAGTTTGTTTCAGTTTCAGTCAAGGATGGCCTTTCTGATATCAAACAATGCTTTGAAATGCTTGGATTTGAGAGTAGTTATCCACTCATCCTCGTGGGTTCACTGTTCACATCATGCGTTTGCTAATCTGAGTCCAGATCTCCTTAAAAGCAAAAACTCTGTGAGCATAGAATCTAGCCGCACATTGGGAATATCTCCCGTACATGTATAAAGCTGGATGCCCATGTTTCCATGCTTCAGTGCTTGCAGAGTTTTTGCTTTCAGGAAATCCCATCTCTGCCTAATCCACCCTCGAAAAAAAAAAAAAAAACCCATGTTGAGCAAACCTTCCTGCATTTTTTTTTTAAGATGTTTGTGGATGAATAAAAAATCCAAACTAGAGATGAATTGTGATCAATATAATCCAGGACCTGGAGGATTTGGAGAATGGCGATGAATTTAAGTAGCAGTGATCACTTGATTGGTGATCAATTAATCATGCCCTGTTGCAACTTCCTAGCCTATTACTATATAATTGGTTTTGATTCAATATTCATTGGCTTCTACTTTGGGTGGATATGCAAAAGCAAAACACTTTCTTTTAGACAACAATAATTTCAAAACTTTAAATAGAAATTAATTAGGTTGAAAAGAAGTATTTGAAGAAAACACTCCAGGGAGAGGGAGTTGTAAATGGAGCTGGTTTTTGTTGAGAACTATCCTATCTTCTTCCATGGGAAAGCCATATGGCAGTAGTGTTTTTGTTTTTGTTTTTGTTTTTTTTTTTTTCAATCAGGGTATTAAATGGAAACTTTTTTGGCAAAAAAAAATTAAAAATAGAAACCTTGTATGGATTTCCTCAACTTTCTATTTCTCTTATGTTGTTTTTGTTGGTTTGAAGGAAAAAAACAGGGAAAGGTAGGGAAACCTGTACAAACCTTGTATGGATTTCCTTACTTTTTCCATCCTTTTCCTTCAAACCAGGGGAAGGATTGGACCCCATCTAAATCAAAACCAATTTGGGCGGATTGGATGTACCAATAAGATATATTAAATTGGATTGGACCTGGTCCATCTATAATGGATTTATATATTAATGGTCTAAAGTATTTATTGGATTGTATTGGACATGGTCCATCCGTAATGGATTTACATTGGATTAAGTGAGGTGAAGCCAATATTGGTCAATTGAAAGAAGATAAGAATACATGTGTCAATCGACCAGGTTTAGATTGGGAACAATATAAATTAAAACCAATTTGAACATATTAGATGGTCCAGACATTGAATTGGACCGGTCCAAAATGGTTCAAAAAATTCATCGGATTGGATTGGACCTAGTCCAATTGACACCCCTACTTCAGACCAAACATAGCCTTATTTTCTACCAAATCAAACACAGCCTTAATAAACATATTTCATGAGCAAAAGAAAATAATTTAGAAGAATAAATGGGCAAATACTGAAACAAGGCAGACGTTGTATCGTGGACCATTTCCATATCCAACCTTATTAGAAATGGACCTTATTGTGGGCTTGGGCCAGTAAAGCCCACTAACAGTAGAAGTGGAAACCTTTCTTGTTCTAGTGTTCTAGGCTTGTAGCCATCTAGGGGTCCATTCAGGAAAGCCATATAAGTATCATCTTTATCTCAAAGGCGAGAAGTCTCCGTATCGGGCTTGGGGCGACTGCGTTAGGGTTTTTCAGAGCCAGAGGGAAGAGGGAGAGAGAAGGCAGAGGAAGATGAGTAAAGAGAAGAAGGTCGCCCCAAAGGGGAAGAAGAAGGGAGCGAGCTTCGTTATAGACTGTTCGAAGCCAGTAGAAGACAAGATCATGGACATCGCCTCCTTGGAGAAGTTCCTGCAGGAGCGAATCAAGGTCGGAGGCAAGGCCGGTGCTCTTGGCGATTCCATTACCATTTCTCGTGATAAGAACAAGATTACCGTGACCTCTGATAATCCCTTCTCTAAGAGGTATAAGTTTCTCCCAACTTTGCCTGTTTTTTTTCTTCCTTTCTCTTAATGTACCTTTTAGATTTGGCATTATAATTTTCTTCTTACTATTATCGTATTCACTATCTTCTGAGTGAACTAAGCTTATATCTGTGCTAAATGGTTCGAATTTGTTGATTGTTGTCTGACGTATTTCGGAAAATATCACTTACCGCTAGCACAGCATTGTTAGTAGAGATTGGAAATGTTCATTCATATCTGCGACAGTACAACTTAATTTGTCTTTCCTTTTTATTGTCTACATGGAATGATGTGTGGTTTTAATTCCTGAAGTTTGGGTGATGTTTTCCACACTATTTTTTCTTTAATTTCGACTTATGCAAACCTGGGGTCATGGAACCCGGCCCAATACTCAGAGATTCAAATCCAATACATGTGTCAACTTTCTAAAATTGTTGTCGTCCTTCCATGAATGGCTTTGTTATCTGTTAATCAAGACAATACCGGAAATAAAGCATAGAGCCCTTCTCTTTTTTTTTTGATGTTTTATATAGCCCTTCTCTTGCTGCCTCTATATACTCTATTTGGGCATACTCCTGTAGTTAAGTATGGTTTAAGTGGAGGGCTTGTGGCTATTGATCATAGGTGCCTTGGAGCACCTTGACTACATAGGGCCCCAGAGTCCTCCATTCAGAATTGCGCATCACCTTGTAAATAATCAACAACCATTAGATTTAAGTTTGATAAGATTAACGGTGGAGCCATCATTTGTATAGTTCATAGGTTAAGCCCTCTTTCAGATATTTGTAATCTAGGAACGTAGAACCCGGTCCAGGCATGGTTATGTTTAACGTCATTGATTTTATATTGATAAGTATGTCTAACCCCATTGACGCTAATGGAGCAATTTTATCATGTCCTGATCCTGCACCTCTGTCACGAATCTTTTGGAATGGTCTCATTGAAAGCAGTTGCAAACTCTTGTTTCCTTTTCACCTGCTAATCCCCATTGTGTTGTGGTGGTTTAAAGTTCAGACAAAATATGTCTGTGATGGAAGACATTTTTTAAAAAAAAAGCTTATGCAAAGACGTTAAAGACAATATTTACTTTTTCCCATTTTTTATCAATAGTGAGGGTTGATCTTGTGAAAGGGTTAAGCTGGATTGTGTGTGTTCCACGGGAAATGAAAGGCAAATATCATAGCTCGAACAGGGTTCTGTTGCGAACACAAGTGTGTAAACTGGGCTAAGTAACCAATCACGAGTGAACATGTCCACAAGCTCTGACTTTCTGGCCTTTTCAAGTGATCCATTTCACAAGTTATTTTCCTCATGTGTTCTTCCCCATCTCTTGTCATATTGTTTTGATTTTGAAGAAGTCTCCTTATGCTTCAGTTTCAGTCAGATATGCAGCTAAGAGCTTGCTTTCTCTTTATTTCCAGTAGTAGATGTTGTCTTATTTCTTTGATTTGTAGTTTGACATTGTTTGTTTTCTTCCACTCTTAATTAAACTTGTGGTGCGAGTTGTGATTTGCATAGGTACCTCAAGTATTTAACAAAGAAGTACTTGAAGAAGCACAATGTTAGAGACTGGCTTCGGGTCATTGCATCCAACAAGGACCGCAATGTTTATGAGCTGCGGTACTTCAATATTGCTGAGAATGAGGGCGAGGAAGAGGATTGATTAATTCATCAGTTTCTTTGTTTTTCCTTTTCTTTTTTGTTTACTCGGACAATTCAGTAAACCATCTTTTAGGACTTGATACCAGTTTTGCCTTCCAGGAACTATGTAGTGTGCACGAGAACTTGAGTGTTGGTTTTCCTAATTCAAGGGTTTTATTTATCTGAAAAAGCAGGGCGCATTGTCATGTGAGTAGCTCACTCAGGTCCTCATCCATTGTTTGTGCTTGATACCATTATGCTATGGAGTGGTAGAGACCTTGCTGTTTGTGCACCAAGACCAACAGTATGCTAGCCAATACAATACAAGTTCGTCAATCATGGTGTCTGAGATCATCAGACTGAGAATGGTTTTGCTATTGATCCTGTATTTTGGATTTGGAAATGTCTGATGTCGAACTCAGTGCTGTCCAACAGATGGTCAAAGTGGTCAACTCAAAGATCCATTCCTGGGGTAGGGCCCAGGAGCTAGAGGTGTAAAGTGGGCTGTGTCGGGTCGGCATGGCACTGCCTGTGCAAAGTGCAGGTTCTGGCTCGTGGGCCGAGCCTTGGGCCAAGTCGGGCCATGCATGGGGCCAAAGCTATTTATTTAAAAAATTGATAAAAAACTTAAAATTTTAATTTTATATGAATTTTGTGTATACAATTGCTTGTATATACAATAATTAAATAAATTAGTATAATAAAATAAAAAAAATTATTTATTTTATTAATAAATTATTTTTTATATATTATTATATAATTATAATTTATATAATATATATAAAGTATATATATGGGTTGGGTTTGTTGGCCCGCTGGTTGTGGGTGGCATGGACTGCTCGGTTGTGCTGTGTTGTGTTGGCCCATGGGCCTAAAACCCTAGGCTGATCACAGCTTGCATGATTGTGTTGGGCCTGGCATGACTTGTGGACCATCGTGCCGGGCTGTGTTGGACTGGTCTAAGTTTGTGTCGGGCCATGCTGGGCCGGTTCAAGTTTGTGTTGGGCCATGGGTGGCATGGCCAGATTTACACCTCTACTAGGAGCCATGACCCATGAGCTTAGGTGATGGGCATGCCACATAGTTCTAGTGGTGTCAATTGGATTGGATTTGGTCCAATTTGATATAGTCCAATGTGAGTCCATTATAAATGGACCAGGTTCAATCCAGGCCAATGAATGTTTTGGATCAATTTGGATCGGTTCAATTCAATGTCTGGACCGTCCAATCTGTTCAAATTTATTTTGATTTAGATTGGTTTCAACTCAAACCCGATCCATTGACACATATATTCTTATCTTATTTCAATGGAACGGATATTGACTTAATCCAACCCAATCCAATATAAATTTATTACAGACGAACCAGGTCTAATCTAATCTAATAAATATTTTGGACCGAATTAATCCAAGACATTATCTAATCAAATAAATCCAATATTTTGGACCGAATTAATCCAATCCAATGTCTTGTTGGTCCATCCAATCCGTCCAAAATGATTTTGGACTTGACGGGGTCCAATTCAAAACCGGTCCATTGACGGTCTTACACAGTGCTGACCACTAAATCGGATTTGGTTCTCCCAAAGCGCTCTTCACACTTTCACGTTGTATCGTTTTCCACAACCCAAGTCCAATCCAACTAGATAAAGAAAAGGGTATCCATACCCCCCTCCCCCAATCCCCCATCCCTTCTCATATACATTTCAACTATACTCAACAAAGCCAATATGTATTTTTTTAGTAAATAGCCTATTGTCTATATGTATTTTAATTCTGCAAATGTCAATGGGTCAGGCACCGTTTCACCCCAACCCAAACTGAAATCTAATTATAATCGATCCAAACCTAACCCAATAGAGTCGAGTCATTGTGGTTTAACCCAATCCACCGACATATCTAATAAATTACAAAACCCTTCGAACCTAACCCATTTTCATTACTAGCTATTCTTGTTTCTACAAGAATGTGTGGCTCGTATTTGCTCTGTTGAGATAGGGATAGGGTAACAATAATGTTAAAGGAGCTGGAGGCAAAAATGGAGTAATGAACACAGGACAAAAGAGTCCTCTCTTAGTGCGGAACGCATGAACAATGTGTGTTTTGATGTTAAGTAGATTTGAATCCATTTGGTAAGTTCGCTATCATTGCTGGCTTGTTGATAAAAGCTGGTTGAGACTTTATTACGATTGGGTGGAGATTGTGCTTAGAATTAAATAAGTTGGGCCCGTTTGGTATACTACAACTTATTGAAAGCTACGTTTAATCTCGTTATACGTACGCTGGCTTTTATTGTAATTTTGTAATTGTCCGAAGCTTTTCAAGCTCATTATGATTCAAATTCACGAAAACCCTTACCGTTATAAAACTTGTACAAGTTAAGGCTCCATTTGGTTTGGTTCGTGGGAACATTTGGGTGGGTGGGATGGGAAAGTGTAAAAATTTACATTTTCATTGTTTGATTTTATATATGGGAAAATAATGGGAAAAGTGCTGCTGTTCATCATCTCTTACCTTCGGATAGTACCGCCGGAGATAGTAGTTCGGACTAATAGGTAGCACTGTTCATCATCTCTCTCCATCCTCTTGTCCGTTCATTAGCCCTCTGTTGGCGGCCAGGGAAGAAGTACACTAAAGTACCAGAGCCGTTGGTGAAACAGTGAGAGAGAGGCTTGAACTAGCTGCAGCAGTTCGTTAGTCCTCTGTCGAACAACTTTGCCATTACAACTAGCTGCAGCAGTGAGAGATAGGCTTGAAGTGCGGTTTGGGAAATCCAAGCTCACCACCCTCCGTTGGACTTTGTGTTTGCTGCCAGGTTGAAGACAATGGAAACCTCCCTTTAGCACAATCCCTCTCTCTCTCTAATCGTCTCTTCTCTCGCCTGAACTGAGAGACCCTAGCCTGTACCTGAGAGTCTCTCTCTGCTCCCAATACAGCCTTTCAAAGGGAAACCATCAGAGCCCTCCCCCTCTTATGCTCTCTCTCTGGACTTTCTCCTTCTCTTTCTCAGTTCTCTCTCTCCTTATTTCGATGGTAATAGTGCTTTCTCAATTTTTTCCATCGGGGTCACACTGTTTTGGTGTGACCCCAAATCCACAATTTTGGGATCTGGCATTCCACATTTTTCTCATCCCATTCCTCTATTTCCGTCAAAACAAATGAGAGAAAAAAAGAATATTTTTAAAATATTTTCTTTTTTTCATCCCCATCCCATAAACCAAACGGAGCCTAAATGATTCAAACCCAAAAGGCAAATTTTACCAAAAAGCACCCAAAAACCAATGAAAGACTCCTAGACTAAGACAACTATTTCAAATTTCAAGCCTCACAGTCGCAAATGTGACAAATGACAAAAGATTTCCAAGTCAACATCTGGAAAAATTGGGACCAAATGTAAAGATTGAGAGGGAGAATGAGAAAAGCAAAAACAAAAAAGCTTTCTTTGGTAATACGTTTGTTTTTGATTGTGCAATAATGAAGGAGAATGCAAAATAACAGAGGGGAAGAGAAAAGGAAAATAGAACTGGACAGATTGCCAAGATGAAGTAAAACCTGTAAGATAAAAGCTAAAGAGGCAAAGAGTTGAAGGACAAAATGGAAATATATGGAAAATGAAAGAACCCATATGTGGATTCATGTGGTGCCAAAGCAAAAGATAAAAGCATGCTTCAGAAATCATAAATCAGAACAAAGTGGAAATGAATTTGTAGTGGTAAAAAGCAGAAGGATGATAAGAGAGGATTCATGTGGGGATGCATCTACCTGTTAGGCTGTTATCAAGGTTTTTAAAACGGAATCAGACAATGAATCGTTCAGGGTTTGGTTCCTGAGTCAAATGGTCCGATCATTCAAACCGAATGGATGGCCTATTTTGATAAAAGAAATTAAAAAATGATCAAAAACCATTTAACAGTTTGAACGGTTCGACTACTTGGATCAATGGTTTATTAATCAAATCAATGATTTTTGGCCAAAACGGTTCTAAGGTAAAACAAACTAATTCTTGGTTTTTTCCGGTCCGACCATCAGGTCCGGTCTAACTTATTTAGGAGATTGGGGATCTGTTACCAATAAAATGTTCCCAACACCGTTCCAACCATCCACTACACACATTGGGAACTCTTGTTTGTGCAAAAAGCTTATGTACGGATGCACACTTAAATCGATAAATTTGGTACTGTGCTTGATTGCATTGGGTACAAACATAATATTCAAAGACTCAAGTTCAACTCTTTTTTTTTTTTTTTTTGTCAACTTGGAGTGCAAAGCTCGCTTCCATGTTTTGGAAGCAAGCTTTTTTGCTTCAATTTTTTAATGCATAAAATGCAAGGAAAAAACAAATTTAAGGATGCATTTGGTTGCGATAAAAACGTAAATATGTATTTTACATAAATACCTTCTTTTCAATTCAAGAATGCAAAGTGGGTTTTCAGTTCTAATTCATTTTTGTTTTCTTCTTATTTGTTTTAAATCGATGCGAAAGGCAGTACGGTAGTCCCTCTCTCATTCGATCAAGTTGAGATTTGAAAATTACAAATTTGTATCCAAAAAATGGGTACAATAATACATTCTCCTCACGTTATGAAAATGTCAAAGAAATATTTTTCCCCTCTTAATCATTGCATTTTTGTACGACAAACAAATACTCACAAATTCAAACCGAAGTGGATAAATACTCCAGTTTAATGTTTGTATTGCAAACAAATGCAGTATTGGGAATAAAATCATCAGTACATGTTTTTATTTTGAAGTTTATCCTTGAAACCTTTTGGGTTTTTGGTCATTGTTTATTTCATTGATTATTCCTCTCTTTTACATATGGGTATTAACAGTATTCAAAAATCGGAGTTTGAGTTCAAGTTCAGCGTAATTGAATCAAATTCGGATAATTTAAATATCAACATTAGTCAAATTTGAATATCACGTGATTCAATTAGGTGAATATCCAAATCAATTATATATAATATAAAATATTTATACATATAATATTTAAATTATATATTTTGATCCATTTACATGCCTTGATGGATTAGTCCGTAAGTTAAGTCGTGGAATTGTAGGTTCTTCTTGGTGTGGCACACCTAATAAGCATATTGTACCAATATTTGAAGTCATGTGCATTTGACATGGGTGGAATTACATAGTGTCATTGAGTGTTTTTTACTACTAAAAATCCAAAAATTATTAAAAAAAAAAATTTCTTGTAGGATAAGACTTTGCTGATAATGAAGA